GATCAGCACAGCAGCTGAAAGTTGGCTTCTTTTCCTCTCCCACTGACTTTCAGCTGCTGCAGCGAGAGCCATACAAGGGATTAATTCCAGTAATTGCCCCCCCCCCCCCAATTACAATCACCCTCCCTGCTGAAAGCTGGCTTCTTCTCCTCTCCCTCCTGAGAGCCATACTGTCAGGATCTGGTCTTCAACTCGGGACCTCTACTGTGTCTGGCAGTAACTCTTCTCACTGAGCTACCTGGGATGCTGGACAGCACCCTGCCTGATCCACTGGACAATCCTGCCTTGTGCCTTGTTTTCTGATGAACCTTGAACTCCTTGCTCCTCCCATGAACTTCCTGATTTAAGCCATGTCTCTGCACTTCATGTTTGCCAGATTATTGTGCTACTTGCAGCTAATATCTAGCTCTTGTCTCTCTTGCTGCCATCTGTACCTTCATTACCAATTTGTTACCAAACTTTGGCTTGTTCCTTGACTACGCTTTTGCCTCATTCCAACCTGCAACCACTTGTATACTGACTACACTTCTGCTTGATCCCTACCTGCTATATCTGCTACTGGATCCTGGCTTGCAAAACACATCTTTACCATCAGGAGTTCTGGTGAATACCGGTTAGTGCTTAGACCCCTCACCTCAGGTGAGCCTGTGTTGTCTGCCAAGGTGACCTGCTTGTATACCTATCCTGTTGGTTGGTTTGCGGCTATAGCTACTGGTCTCCGAGCCTGAGCATTGAACATACAATGCATGGGTTTCAGTAATTGCCCCCCCTGCAGCACCCATCACGCACCATACGTTTACCCCTCAGTGCCCCCACTCCTACAGTGCTGCCAGCTTCCCTCCTCTTCTTCCCACTGGCAGCTGCAAGCACACAATAGGATCCTTCAGGATGGAGAGAGAGAGAAAGGTCTGGTAAATATGTCACATTTACCAGCCTCTTCCTTCTCTGAATGAATACAATGAGTGATCGGTACCAATCTCTAACTGTGTTAATTCATAGCTGAAGCATAACAAACTGTGTTTTTTTTTGGGGGGGGGGCTATCAGGTTGGCTATATAGGGCCCCATCGTTTCTAACAGCAGCCCTGTATGTCAATAATTGGGATGATATTGATCCACAATGGCTCAAAATTTATATGGTCCAGAAATATTTAGACAAAATAAAGGTGAATAAACACCAGGACCGGATGACTTACATCCATGTGTTCTAAAAGAATTGAGCTTTGTCATTTCAAAGCCGATTTTTCTTATTTTTAGGGACTCTTTAATGACTGGCATAGTACACTATTTAAAAAGGGGTGAAGGTCTTTACGAAGTAACTAGAGACCTGTTAGTTTAACTTCTATAGTCGGGAAGACACTGGAGAGTTTAATAAAAGACCACATAGGCGAGTTTTTGCTAGAAACAAAATATTTTAGGCAATAGACAGCATGGATTCATGAAAGACAGAGGTTGTCAAACAAATCTGATTTCTCTTTATGTGGAGGTGAGCAAAACCTTGGACAGAGGGGTGGCGGTGGACATGGTATACTTGGACAGAGGGGTGGCGGTGGACGTGCTATACTTGGACAGAGGGGTGGCAGTGGACGTGTTATACTTGGACAGAGGGGTGGCGGTGAACGTGTTATACTTGGACAGAGGGGGGTGGCAGTGGACGTGGTATACCTGGATTTTACAAAAGCGTTTGACACAGTTCCCCACACACAACTAATGTGTATGGTAAAGTCTACAGGCTTTGAAAAATCAGTTTGTAAATGGACAGAAAACTGGCTAAAAGACTGAAGTCAGAGAGTAGTGGTTAATGATTCATACTCTGAATGGTCTAAGGTTATTAGTGGTGCACCCCAAGGTTCTGAGGCTCCTTGAACAGAACAAAGAGCATGCCTTCTATTGAATAGTCCACAGAATTGACTAAAAAAAATTTCTAAAGAAAAATTAGGAGGTGACATTACTAGCAGAGCAGCTCATCTAGAGACTCAATTCTTAAGGCCCCATAGACAGTAAAGCATAAACAATTAACTAGAGATGAGATTCTGGCTGGGGACTACCATTGGTTCTACATGTTCAAGATTCTGGGTCTAGGCAATATTTAAAGTGAATTTTGCAGGGCTGAATGCTTTGTAACCATAATGCACTGCAAGGACCTGTGATCTTATGTCAGCTGGCTTAGAAGGTCCAATAATGGGGACTTTATTATGTGTTAAATCCCCATACTATAAAAAAACGGTAGGGGGCACAGATCATCTAAAATGTCAGTGCATTAAAAGCTGCGGTAGGAAAAAAGTAGGGAAGGCTTACAAACTGCAAAAAAGATTAGGGTCAATTTATTTACAAACCAGCTGTTGGCAAGGAATCTGTCATTAAAGAGGTTCTCTGGTTTCCTGTAACAAAAACTGTAGCTGTGACTTTTTAAAAAACAGTCACTCACCTGTCCCAAGATCCAATGATGTCCTCACACCAGCTGTTCTTTCCAGTGGTGTCCTGTCCCAGGTGCTGGCACCCCAATATGGGCACATGGCTATGACAACTTGCGGCTGTTTACTGTACATGCTCGAGTAGCCATGTGCATTGTGAATGGTCCGAAAGTCTTCTGGGACCTTTCACGTGTCCCAGAAGACTGTGGGGAGGGAGGTGGGGAGCACAACTTTTGCTTCCGATTGCCTAGGCGGTCGGAGCTAAGTAGGAGTGGGTACCCTTAAAAATTGGGTACCAGCTCCCCAAAAGCTCTCATTTCTTTACCAGAAGCAAGGGAACAGACCTAAAGTTGAAATTCCCCTTTTGGGTGGAGCTCCTCTTTAAGCGACAAGTAGCAACAGGAGCAGACATGTTGGTGTATTTTTTCTTTTGAGAGATAGGCTGATCTCATTCAACATGATTGGCAAAAATCTGCATAACTGAGCGACATGTTTGAGAGGGAATGAAGGTAACCTCCTCATGTTATGTGCAGGTGGCCTGATATGGTTCAGGAAAGGGTGCATTCTCATACATTCCTTCTTTCCTGTCCAATTAGGCTGCATGCTTGGATTTTGGGGGGGAAATTTATGTCCTTTTTTCCCCAAAAATAGAGCTTTCTTTCTGTGGTATTTGATAGGCTTTTTGTCTGTTTCAAGGCTCCACCAAGGGGTTCAGCAAACAATGTCTTGGTTCCAAGACAGTCCACACATTCTTACAGCTGTGAACTACACTACTCCACCTCACAGATAGGTGCGGACTCCTGTTCCTTTTGAAGCCTTCCCTGCAGGCTGGGACCAAAGTCCCTGTTATCAGGGTTGCAGGCTCTTTTCCATCCAGTCTCTCTGAGTCTTCTCTGGGTCCCAATGAGGACTTACCAAGCTTGCAAAAAGTGCAAATCAGTCCTCTTTTCTAACTGCACTACCCTGGAAACACTCACCCTCCATGGGTGGGAACCTCAGAGTCCTCAAAATGTCTCTTATCACAACCCAAACAATGGGTAAATATACTTGCCTTCTAAGACCCATCCCTGATGTCCTGTACACTGCTTTTTATCAAATCAGTTGAGTAGGCAAACCATCAATTAGTCATGAATACTACTATGCCCACATTTCTCCACTGAATTCTAAAAGTTTTGACATAATCCAAGTCTGCTAGATGGGGTCAGGGAGACGTTCCTCAGCCCTCTGTAAGTTTTTGACAGACACCAGAGGGGGAGCAGGGGAAAGGTGAGTATGTTCAGCTGGGGAGAAGGTGGAACCATTTGCCTTCACCTGTGTGGACAAACCACAGATTTCCTTTAAACTGTTTTCTTGTTTGCATTATGATTAGCCCTTGCTACCATCTGTATATATATATGCGGCCTCACTGAAGTGGGTCTTCTTCTGTGAGGCCGCATATACAAATACAGTAGGCGTACATTTTTGTTCTGGGAGATCTCTGTGCATAGGGACCGGGCTCCCACCGAGAGCCCCAGGTCCCATAATAATGAGTGGGAACCAGAAACCTAGTTCCCGATCACCTGATCACTGTGATAACCTCTGATTGGGTATCACAGGGATTAATCACTACAAAGCCTGCCTCTTTGTATGCGTTCTCCTCTGCCAGAGGAGAAAAATGTACTTAAACAAAAGTTTGTGTAAGTCTTGGCTCACACTACTGCGACCTGAAAGTAGCATGACTTACAGTGCGACTTTTCCGGGCGACTTCCTGGCAACTTGAGTACTACTTTGAAGAGACTTTCAGGGAATGCCTGGGTAATCTTCCTGTAATGTTGGATCCAAATCACATCAATATAGATGAGGATCCGACTTGGAGGCGACTTCCATTAAAGTCTAAGGGCATGAGTCGGATAGAAGTCCTCTTGAAGTAGTCCAGGAACCTTTTCTAAAGTCGGAGCGACTTCAGTAGTGCTACTTAAGACAGCTCTCATTGACTAACACGGGATTTCACATGTAATGTGACTTGGGGTCTCAGTGTGAACTGAGACTGAAAAAACACCAAAAAACAAAATCAAGGTTTGACCTAGGTAAGTGTCAGGGTTAATGTCAGGGTCAAAGGTCAAGGTCAGAGACAAAGGTCGAGGTCAGTATATTTTAGGTACAATTGAAAAAAAAACATTTTTTTCAAATAGTGTCAGTTAGTGTCAATGTCGGTGTGCTTTAGTAGGTAAAAGAGGAAAAAGCACCATTGCTTCTGGGCCCTACTAGAGGTACAAACAACAAATAATTTATACATATGTGGTATTGTCAGGAGCAGGAGAATTTTTATTTTGGGTTGTTCTTTGGTGGTAGGTTATGGTAGTAGCAGGAAAAATACAGCAACATTTTACAAAAATTTATATCTTTTTTTACTATTTTGAGCCATTTTTCCTTTGATAAATGAAAGAAAATTAAGAGATATCATTACTATTTACCACCAATTGAAAGCCCAATTTGTCCTTGAAAAAAACAGTAGTTGCGATGATATGTACAGTTTTAATAAAACATGTCAAAGTTGCAAGCATTTAAGTGTTACTAAACCCAGGACCCTGCATTCACTATATCTGGTCTCCCCGGACCCTGCATTCACTATATCCGTACTCCCCGGACCCTGCATTCACTATATCTGGTCTACCTGGACCCTGCATTCACTATATCTGGTCTCCGCGGACCCTGCATTCACTATATCTGGTCTCCCCTAACCCTGCATTCACTATATCTGGTTTCCCTGGACCCTGCATTCACTATATCTGGTCTCCCCTAACCCTGCATTCACTATATCCGGTCTCCCCGGACCCTGCATTCACTATATCTGGTCTCCCCGGACCCTGCATTCACTATATCCGGTCTCCCCGGACCCTGCAATCACTATATCTGGTCTCCCCGGACCCTGCAGTCACTATATCTGGTCTCCCCGAACCCTGCAGTCACTATATCTGGTCTCCCCGGACCCTGCATTCACTATATCTGGTCTCCCCGAACCCTGCAGTCACTATATCTGGTCTCCCCGAACCCTGCAGTCGCTATGTCCAGTCTCCCCGGACCCTGCAGTCACTATATCGGGTCTCCCTGGACCCTGCAGTCACTATATCTGGTCTCTCTGGACCCTGCATTCACTATGTCTAGTCTCCCAGGACCCTGCATTCACTATATCTGGTCTCCCATAGTACACACAACATGGAAATGCAATTATTTTAGTAAATATAAACTGCTAAATACCTTTTCTCATCAGCAGTTAGAGCAGTCTTGTGACTTCTATCAGTGTCCAGCAGAGCAATGGTTAAAGCTTGTAGGATGAGTTTTCATTTTGCTCTAGGAGGATACAGAACCCCTGATCTCTGTCTGGGCAGCGCTGATTGGCCTTGTGCTGATCACACACACCCTCCGAAGAAAGAAAAAAACCTCTCTAGCAATACACACCAAACTGAGCATGTGCAGAGTGGCTCCACAAGATGTGTTTTATCAGAAGGTAAGATAGGGGCACTGGAAGAAGGGGAGGATCAGAGCAGTCAGGATCAAACAGCATTTTTACACAGTGCAGAGGATTAACCCCTTAGGTTCCACAGTGAGTATAACAAGCATGCTTTACTGCATATATACAGACTGATGTTACTGAGGTGGGTTTAGTAACACTTTTAATTGGTTTTAAGTTCCGTCATGAAAGGGTTAAGTTGGGATTTCCCACACACATTCTTCTTATATTTACCTGTTTGTAAAGGAAGCCCTGGTGTTATTTTTATTCTAGCCCCCCCCCCCACCCCCGCCCCCCCCCCCCCCCCCCCCCCCCCCCCCGCCCCTGCCCAGGATTACTTGAACAAATATTTCTCCTTTTCGTGGAATGTGTGTAATAAATGACAGGTGGGTCTATTTGGTTACACTGAGTGTGAATGGCAGGGAGTCAGCACTGTGTATGCCTGGAAATCACACCCAAGTCCATATATCAATATGACGGGGACGGTTTATCAATGCTAACACTTGTGCTAGAAGATTTCCACTACCATTGTACTTTCCTCTTCAAAATACCTGTTTGCCTGGCTGTCATCCAATAACTTCAGCACATTCTAAGTCACTGACCGAAAAATACAGATTAGGAGTTCTGTCTTCACTTTGACTTTCTGCATGCTTGTACTGGGTCGCTGAAGCTAGAACATTTAGTTCAGAACTATCAATAAAATAAAAAGTATTTTTTTATGCAGGTAAATATGAAACTAGATGTATTAATATTTTATATGTACTCTCTGCGGCCTGAAGGGTGTGGAGCCTAGTCAGTTTTCAATCATGTTTTACTACTATGCAGTGAATTTATTTACCATCTAGAACACATTCCGTTTTACTACCGTAGAACACATTCTGTTTTACTACTATGCAATGAATTGATTTGCTATCTAGAACACATTCTGTTTTATCTAGAATTGATTTGCTATCTAGAACACATTCTGTTTTTACTACTGAACTATGCAGTACTACTATGCAATGAATTGATTTGCTATCTAGAACACATTCTGTTTTACTACTATGCAGTAAATTGATTTGCTATCTAAAACATTCTATTTTACTACTATGCAGTCTATTGATTTGCTATCTAGAACACATTCCGTTTTACTACTATGCAGTGAATTGATTTTCTATCTAGAACACATTCTTTTTTACTACTCTGTAGTGAATTGATTTTTCATCTAGAACACATTCTGTTTTACTACTATGCAGTCTATTGATTTTCTATCTAAAAACACATTCACAGCTTTTTTGCTGCCAGGATCCTGATGTTGATTGATTTCCCGCTGCCCCCTGCCAGCTTGCAGCCTGGTGACCTGAGCTGGTAGTCTTAAGAGGATGGGCCCCATAATGCACTGCACTGAAAGTGCATGCTCCAAACTTTTACGATAAATAAAACAAACGTTTCCCTCTTAAATAAATCGAGTGATGGAACCTTTGGCTGTTAGTAACTAGTAGCTCTCAGGCTTGTGATCTTGATGCAGAGCAAAAGTGTGAGTCTGGATTCACACTTTTGCCTCATGTTGAGGTGCATTATTGCACATTAAAAATCAAATTTACTTTTAAAGTGTTACTAAACCCATAAAAGTAAAATCAGTCTGTCTATGCAGTAAAGCATGCTTGATATACTCATTGTAGAACCTAAGGGGTTATTTCTCCGCATTGTGTAAAAAAGGCTGTTTGATTCTGTCTTCTCTGATCTTCCCTTCTACCACTGTCCCCAATCCATCTGTTGATAGTAGTGAGCCTTGGGGGCAAGCTGCACATGCTCAGTTTGGTGTGTATGGTTAGGTTTTTTTTCTCTCGGGAGAGTGCATGCATGATCAGCACTGTCCAGAGGGAGGTTCAGGGGACATGCAACCTCGTAGGACCATCAAGGGAAAATGGAAACTCCTACAAGCTTTAACCAGTGCTCAGCTGGACACAGATAGAAGACATAAGACTGCTATATACTAGTGATGAGAAAAGGTATTTAGCAGTTTATATGTATTAAAATAATTGCATTTCCATGTTTCGTGTACTGTGGGAGACCAGATACAGTGAATGCAGGGTCCTGGGTTTAGTAACACTTTAGACTTTAATTAGAAACATGTTTCTAATTAAAGTCTAAGAAATAAAACTCTATGTATCCCAATCTGTTAAAAAAAAAACAAGGTATAATACGTAAGGATTGACCACAAAAGCTTTCAGATATTAGCTGTCAGGTGCATCTGTGAAGCAAAAAAATAAAAACATACTTTGACACTCAGGAGTATGTAACACAAAGAGCGCAGGGGTCAGGAGTGTATAATGCAGAGTGCAGGGCTCAGTAGTAGGTATCACATAAGTGCAGTGGGCCAGGGTAGTTGTGGCACAGAGCGCAGGGGTCAGTAGTGTGTAATGCAGAGTGCAGGGCTCAGTAGTAGGTATCACATAAAGTGCAGTGGGCCAGAGTAGTTGTGGCACAGAGCGCAGGGGTCAGTAGTGTGTAATGCAGAGTGCAGGGCTCAGTAGTAGGTATCACATAAAATGCAGTGGGCCAGGGTAGTTGTGGCACAGAGCGCAGGGGTCAGTAGTGTGTAATGCAGAGTGCAGGGCTCAGTAGTAGGTATCACATAAAGTGCAGTGGGCCACAGTAGTTGTGGCACAGAGCACAGGGGTCAGTAATGTGTAATGCAGAGTGCAGGGCTCAGTAGTAGGTATCACATAAAGTGCAGTGGGCCAGAGTAGTTGTGGCACAGAGCGCAGGGGTCAGCTGTGCATAACACATAGAGTGCAGGGACCAGGAGTGGTTTCTGCACAGAGTACAGGATTCAGGAGTGCATAACTGTCATGTACCTGATGGTTGAGTCTGACCTGGAGAGGTAGGCGTCTCTTACACCTCCAGCTCATGACCCCTGGTAGGGTATCAGGAGGCACAGAAGCGTGGAGTAGCATTAGAGCCTGGAAATTCTTGTGGTGAAAGGTGCGGATGAGTCATCTGTTCATTTCTAGATGCAGTCTGGATCGTGATTGCCGAGCAGCAGCAGAGATGACAGGCTATAGAGTGTGTGGTACAGTCCAGCAAGTCGCTAGTAGACAGACACTGGCAAACTGGAGGGTAGCTGGGTACAGGTTGGCAGGTACAGGTTCTAAGCGGAGTCAGGCATGCCGGATTGGTAATTTGTGGACAGGGCAGGTGCAAACAGAAGGCAGAAAAGTTGTGGGGTCGGGGTTGGTATCGGTGATGCAGATCAAGATAAGTAGTTGGAGACATAATCCAGAGACAAGCCTGGGGTCAGTGCAGGCAGAGTACCATTTTTAAAGGGGCAGTCATTTTTCATTGCTTAAAGTAAAAAAAAAATTAAACATTATTATTATACAGTATTTATATTATTATTATTATACAGTATTTATAAAGCGCCAATAGTTCGCTCAGCGCTGTACATTACAAAGGGGGACAGAACATGTGAGAGAACAACAACAATACAATGCAAAACATGAGGGGATCGAGGGCCCTGCTCTTTCGAGCTTACAATCTAGGAGGGAGGGGATGGTGGCACAGGAGGAGATAGCTGTGGGGGATGGGGTGGTAGGAAGAGTGGAGGAGGTTGGCAAGTTAGCAGGGGGTGGGGTAGGCTTCCCTGAAGAGGTGGGTTTTCAGGGTGCGCCTAATGGAGAGGAGAGTAGATGATAATCTGATGGGTTGGGGCAGGGAGTTCCAGAGGATGGGTGACACCCTGGAGAAGTCCTGGAGGCGGGCATGGGAGGAGGAGGCCAGGGAACTAGAGAGAAGGAGGTCTTGTGAGGAGCGGAGTGTGCGTGCTGGGTGGTACTTGGATATTAGGTCAGTGATGTAGTTCGAGGCAGTATGGTGGACGGCTTTGTACGTCAGTGTTAGGATTTTGAATTTGATCCGTTGCGCAATCGGAAGCCAGTGGAGGGATTGGCAGAGGTGGGTGGCAGAAATGGAGCGGTTGGAAAGGTGAATGAGTCTGGCAACCGTATTCAGGATCGACTGAAGCGGGGATAGCCAGCGGCGAGGCAGGCCAGTATGGAGGGAGTTGCAGTAATCGAGTCGTGATATGATGAGGGAGTGGATGAGCTGTTTAGTGGTTTCTGGGGTTAGGAACGTGCGGATTTTGGCGATGTTGCGGAGGTGGAGTCTGCACGAGCTTGTTAAAGATTGGACTTGGGGCTGGAAGGATAGGTTGGAGTCCAGAATGACACCAAGTACTCTGGCCTGCGGGTCGGTTTTGATGGTGGCGTTGTTGGATGTGATGGAGAAGTCAATGGGGGGTGGTGTCCGGGCTGTGGGGAAGACAAGAAACTCGGTTTTGGAGAGGTTCAGTTTAAGGAAGTGGAGCGACATCCAGTCGGATATGTCGCTCAGTAGGTGTGTGATTCGGGCGGAGACTGAGGTGGTGAGGTTGGGGGTTGAGAGATAGATTTGTGTGTCGTCGGCATATAGGTGGTAGTTGAAGCCGTGAGAGTGTAGGAGTTGGCCAAGGGAGGAGGTGTAGATGGAGAAGAGAAGGGGCCCGAGGATGGAGCC